TGCAGGGAGGGGACAGCCCGGGGCTCTTTGGTGCATGCACTCATTGGGGAGTTACTGGTGTTAGTCCTGTTCTCCTGGCAAAGCCCAGCCTCGAGCCTTTCCTTTCCTTTCCTTTCCTTTCCTGGGGTGCTCCCAGCCAAAAAGGTGATGGCAGAACTCACGGGTTGTGAAAAGCCAATTGCTCCCCGTTTCGCTGCAGAGCAGGAGTTTCCCTCCCTCCCTCTCTCTCCCTGCTGGGATTGTACAAACCCCGGCGCTGCAGGAATTGTTTTGCACTGATTCCATCTCCAGGAGGTGCCAGGGTCAATCATTTGCTTCTTGGTTTGATGGGGATCAGCAGCTCCTGCGAGTTGAGCTCAGGTTAAACCCTCGCCAGGCTCGCAGAGATTGGGTGGGAGGAACGAGGGGCTCTGATGGGAATTGTGGGAGGTCTGGCTCCCACCACAAACTCTGTGTGTGCTGTTTTACAGGATTTATATGGAGCATTTTATACAGGGAGAGTATTTTTTAAGAGCATTTTATAGAGAGAGAGTGTTTTATAACATAGCTCCACTCGAGCTAGGTTAACTTCTACAATAAAAAAAAAATATTTCTTAAATCAAATKGTGACGCACTTCCCAAAAATCAAGAGACAGGGAATTCAGGATTCTTTTGGAAGGTTACTACACAGTGTGAATGTGTGTGTATCTCTATAAATATYTATTTTATAGGGTCCAAATGCTGCTAAAGCCACAGGAGAGATGATGCTCCCGGGATCTGAGCCCCAATTTCCCACCAAATTCGAGTTTGTGGTTGGTACCCTGAGAGGCAAAAAGGTTTTGGCCATTGGTGTTCATTCCAGAGGGTTTTTACCACCTTCCTGGACAGTTCCTTGCTGCACTCTGAGAATGAAGAAGCAAATGACTGAGCCAGGGAATTTTTTTTTGGTTTTTTTTCCTGTTTTCCCTCAGTTTTTCCCAGCTCACTGCAGCAGCCTGAAGTCGAGTTCCTCCCATGCAAACAGTGACGAGCAACTCCAAAAAGGCTCGGTGGGAAAGGATTTTTTTTTTTTTTTTCAAAAAATTTGGTGATCCCAGAGGGGAATCCTCACCCCAAAAAATCTAGGCAACCAATCAGAACAAAGTATTTTACCTTCTGTTCACCAGCGAGGACGACATCATCAGCACCATGCAAGCCACATGACAAATTCACATGATACGCACGCACATGAGTTTGGTTGAAAGGAAAGTGGAGGAGGTCACATGGAAAATACAAAAAAATTAAAAAACTGATGTAAACAATGGGCAAGGGAAAAAAAATCAACAACAGAATTACAGAGTAAATAAAAAAATAGGAGCAAAATTAAATTAGCCAGCATATATCAGAAACACTGCGGGGGGGGAACAGTAAAACCGCCTGGAAAATAAGAATATTAAACCACAGCAAGCACTGAGTTACGGCCTTGTGTTAGGCACAGCTGCGTCACTGCTTAGTCATACAAAGAACAAAAGGAACAAAAATCATTGTAGTGTGTGCCAGGACTGCTGGAGGAATCCACCAAACTGCTGGGAAGAGAAAGGGAACGTTGTTATTGCAAGGCAGCGCAAGTGGAAGGGTCAAAATCAGCCCAAAACCGGGATGGAGCTCAGCACCCCACGCTGGTGTGACCCCCCTGCAGGCACAGATGGGCTCCTGAGCACCAACCACCACTGCACCAGAGAAAAAGGSAATTTTTCCTAAAGAAAAAGGGAATTTTTCCTAAARWGCACCGAGCCCAGGCTGCGCTGCCSTCCCCAAATCACTCTGGAACTCGAATTTCTCATGCTCGTGCCTCTGTCTCATCCTAATGAGGCTGCTCCACTGAGCTCTGGTAGTTCCCTGCTAATTTGATGTATTGAGAATTAAACCCTTAATCTTTTGGGTGCTTGTCTCTGACAAGATTAAGGGCAGACCATTACCRGGGAAAAAACGGATGGCACAAAATGTAAAATCCATTTGTTACAGCCAAGCTCTCAATCCATTCTCCTTAAACACAGAACTCTGGGCATGGGGAAGGTTTAAGAGTTACTGTGARACTGCCTGGGAAGAAAATCAGCATCTTTTGGTCAGGAAGAAACATTTCCCAAAGCCCAGTGAGCTCAGCTTAACCTGAGAATTCAAAACAGGCAAGAGACGCTGCCTGTGCTCGTGAGAGAAAGATTTAGGTAAAGATCAAGGAAAAAATTAGCAGCATAAATATAAAATGCTTTGGGTTGGAAGGAACCTTAAGGATTATCCAGTCCTGGGCASGGGCACTTTCCACTATCTCAGGTTGCTCCGAGCCCTGTAAAAAAAAAAATCCCTTTTTTTCAGTGAGCTCAACCATTGCAAGGCAAAAACAGGTCCCAGAGTGGAGAGAGCTGCAAGGAAAACATCAAAACTGGTGCAGAATATTTACTGGAGCACCCTCAGGGGGTTAAATCCGAGGAGAGACCTTCCTAAAACCSTGCCCAGCCCTGGTGGGTCCTGGTTCCTCTCCCTGAGCTTGGGAAGACACACAATTATCACTAATTACTGCAGACCCTGCAGCAGGAGGGGTTCAGGGATGCAGGAGCAGCAGAGTCGGGGTAGAGCTGAATTTCAGCAAGGAGAGAAGGGAAACTTTCACCCCAAAAAGCCATCACTGCTCCTCCTCCTCCACACACAACCCCCACACCACAAAAACTGTGCAAAACTTTTGTCATTAATCAGCTCCCGGTGTCTTTTCTGGGTATTTTTTTTTTTTTAAGGAATAAAATGTTCTGTAAAACATGAAGCTGAGGTTTTCCTTCCAAGAGAAGCTCTCTCCAGCCCATGAACAGCCAGAAGGGAGACTCTGCTTCCTAAGGAACACAGGATGATGAGCAGAGCCTGCCCTTGGCCCTCTCCAGCCCATCTCCAGCTCTGGCTGCAATCAAAAAGCCTCTTCAGCACTTCAGAACATCAGGGATTGGGGTTTGGCACKTCAATAAAATCACTGCACAAGGAACAGGCTGGCTGTGGCCACTGGCAGGTAAAGGACATTCAAACCATGTGCAGGACCCCGAAATGTGCCACTCACAAATGCAAAAACAATGTTTGGTTTCAAATCCTTTTAACTGGTCACTCTCCCCTCTTCCTCCATCCCAAACCCCCAGATCACCCCACACTTCATGCTTTTAGTGTTCCCATTCAGAATCAATGAGCATTTCCAGCCCAGTTCAGGCCCCATTTCCACAAACCCCCAGCACTGCACATCACCCCAAAAGCACTCAGCTTGGCACAAACCCTTTGGTTTGGTTATTCACAGCACTCACATGCACCAGGCAAACCCAGATACTCCTGCAGTGCTTCTCCTCTTCTCCCTTTACCACCCAACCCCCAAGGGATCTGAATCCAGGTCCCATTTCAGGGATTTTTTTTTTTTTTTTGGAAGTCTGAGACCTCTTTTAAGGCAAGCACTGGTGCTGAGCTGGGATCTCTCCTGAAGRATTTTCTACCTCCTCATTTGCATCTTCTTCCAGCATCCAATATCCCTAATTTTAATATCAATTGTGTCTCCCTGCATTCAGAGAAAATAGAGTAAGGCAGGGTAGCAAGAAAATTATTTAATTCACATCCCTTTTGCTAAAATGACTAATGGGAAACATGAAAAGAAAACATCCCTTTTGGAAATGGTAATTTGTGGGTTTTGAATCTCTTTCTCTCCCTCTCCGTGCTCCTTCTGAATCTTTTATTCCCATTTTTCAGCCCGTGCTTGGCAGAACGAGGGGGAAGAGCTGCACCATGCTGGGATCTAAACGTGCTCACACAGCAAATTGTGGGTTACCAGACACCCAAAAAGCACCCCAGAGCCCTGGAATTGCCCGGGGCCAGGGCTGCAGCAGCACAGGCAGCACTCCAGAGCAAAGGAGCAGCTCCCAGGTACTCACTCGGTGCCTCGGAGCTCGGGGATGCAGCAGGAGCAGGGGTTGCTATGGAAACGGGAAGGATGGACAGGACATGGTCAAGGTGAAAATCCAGGAAATCGGGGGGGAGAGGGAGGGCCAGGGTGAGAGAGGGGAAATGGAGAAGGTTTGGAGGGGACAGGAGGGATGGTGACAGCAAAGGGAGATTTGGTGGGGACAGGAGTGATGGTGAGAGCAAAGGGACATTTGGAGGGGACAGGAGGGACTGTGAGAGCAGGGAAAAGGGGGAGGGGACAGGAGTGATGGTGAGAACAGGGAATGGGAGTTTGGAGGGGACAGGACTGACCGTGAAAGAAGAGAAAAGGGAGATTTGGTGGGGACAGGAGTGATGGTGAGAGCAAAGGGAGAAGTTTTGGAGGGCACAGAAGTGACAATGACACCCAGCCCTGGTGGCAGGAGCTGCACAAACCCTGCCCTGCTGCTCTGGGCCAGCCCTGCCACAGGGAGGGGGGTCCTGGCAGCCCCTCCAGGGACAGGGAGAGCAGCCTGCCCTGAGCCTTTCTCATCCTCAAGGGTTCTGAAGCCCCAAATCCCCATTTCTGCCCCATTTTGGCCCCCATCAGCCCATGAATGGAAGATTTGGGAGGCCTCCAGGAGCAATTCCTGAGGAGAACTGAGCCCTGCTCATTCCCACCTCCCAGGGAACACAGAGGGAGGAGGAAAACGGCTCCAAAAACCCTAAAAGTGTGAGCAGCTCAGGAAATGAGTGAATTTGGAGAGAACCTGCACYCCCCAGAGCACTCACACCAAGATTTCCAGRGCAGAARGAAAGGGATGTCTTTGATTCCAAARCCCTGGAAGAACCCAGCAGGAGGGCCAYGAGCTGGGAGGGATTTCTCTGTTATTTCCCATAAAATCTTTAAAATCAGAAGAATTCTCCAACAGGCAGAGAATGGCAGGGACAYAAGAAAGGTAAAATCAGACCTTGGGAAGCTGCAGAGCAGCCCCAAAAAGAGAGATTTGGGGGGAAAATCATCCAGGAAAGCAGGAGAAGAGTCAGGGATGTTAGAAGGGAACACAGTCAGTGAGGAGATCATGCACAGCAGAGGAACAAACCGTCCTGCCATACTCACTGTCTGCTAAACGGGGCGTGGGGACAGCAGCAGGGGCTGAAGAGAGAGAAATGAGGTGAGGAAAGGGAGGGATTCCTGTGAAACGCTGCCAAAACCCAGAAAATGGGACGATCTGGAAGGTGGGGGTTATTTTGGTGTTGGTTTTGGACGTGCAGATATTCTGAACCCAGCCCCACACCCAGCACACACTTGGGGTTGAACACATTTTTGGGTTCCAAAACCCCCCTGTTCCCCAGGCCTTTGCTTGGCTTCAGATTTTAAAGGAAAAGGAAATGAAGAAAACCAGCAAATGGTTAAAATGGAAATCCAAAGCCAGGTCAGGTTACAGACACTCTCCCAAGCTCCAGACCTCTGATCTGTGCCAGTGTAATACAT